CGCCCCCCCCCCCGCGCCGCGGATTTTATTTGGGATTTTCCAGGAATGTCCGGGAATGACTCAGCGCGGGGGGGACACGAGGGGGACACGTCCCGAGGGCGTGGCCGTGTCCCCTCCCCCCCCGTGGGGACACCCCGGTGACTCACGGGGCCCTGCCTCAGTTTCCCCCCCGCCTTTCTGAAAAAAAAAAACCAAAAAAAACCGCCCCAAAAAAGAGAAATTCACCCCCAAAAGTCACACCCGGAAAAAGGGGAAGTCTTGGAAAAAAAAGGGAAACGCCCCAAAAAGGAGGAATCAGCCAAAAAAGGAGGAATCAGCCAAAAAAGGAGGAATCACCCAAAAAAAAGGAGAAATTCCCAAAAAAAAGGAGGAATCACCCCCAAAAAAGAGGAGGAAGCCCCTAAAAAGAGGAGGAAGCCCCCCAAAAAAGGAGGAATTTCCAAAAAAAGGAGAAACTCCGCCCAAAAAGGAGGAATTTCCCCCCAAAAAAGGAGGAATCCACCCAAAAAAGAGGAATCCCCCCCAAAAGGAGGAATTCCTCCAAAAAAGGAGGAATCACGCAAAAAAAGGAGAAACTCCCCAAAAAAAGGAGGAATCACCCCAAAAAAAGGGTGGGACCCCCCAAAAAAGGGGTTCGGGGGGATGGAGACCCCCCCAAAAATCGGACACCGGGGGGTTCCCCCGGTTCCCGGCCAGGAGGGGGATCCCAAAACGGGAATTAGATCCCAAACCGGGGTTTGGGGCTGGGGTTCCCAATTTTTGGGGTGCGGGATCGAGCCCCGTTCCCGTTACTGGGTGGGGCACCCCAAAACCGGGATTTAGACCCCAAACCGGGATTTGGGGCGGGGGTTCCCCGTTTTTGGGGTTCGGGGCCTCCCCTCCGTTCCCGTTACCGGGCAGGGCACCCCAAACCGGGATTTGGGGCGGGGGTTCCCCATTTTTGGGGTGCGGAGCCCTCTCCCCGTTCCCGTTCCCGGGTGGGGCACCCCAAAACCGGGATTTAGACCCCAAACCGGGATTTGGGGCGGGGTTCCCCGTTTTTGGGGTGCGGAGCCCTCTCCCCGTTCCCGGGACCGGGTGGGGCACCCCAAAACCGGGATTTAGACCCCAAACCGGGATTTGGGGCGGGGTTCCCCGTTTTTGGGGTGCGGAGCCCTCTCCCCGTCCCCGCTGCCGTTGGGGGCGCGGCGCTCACTCACCGCTCGGTGCTCGGTGCTCGGTGCCGCGGCGGGCAGTGGCGGGGCGCGGTCCGGTCCGGGATAGGCACGGCGGGGGCGGGCCGGACACGGGGGGATGGCGGGGGGAGCACCGTGAGTCACCGGGACCGCCCGGACACCGCGCCCCGCCCCGGGCATGGGCCCCGGTGTTACCGGGGACAGCGGGGACACACCCGGGACACCCCCGGGACAGCGGGGACACACCCGGGACACCCGGGACACCCCCGGGACACCGGGGATACCCCGGGATACCCCCGGGATATCGGGGACACCCCGGGGACACCCCCGGGATATCGGGGACACCCCCGGGACACCCCGGGGACACACCCGGGACAGCGGGGACACCCCCGGGACACCCCCGGGATACTCCCGGGACAGCGGGGACACACCCGGGATATCGGGGACACACCCGGGACACCCCCGGGACACCGGGGATACCCCGAGATACCCCCGGGATACCCCCGGGACACTCCCGGTTCTGCTCCGGGATCCCCCGGACACCGGGGACCACCCGGGAGGCGCCGCTCTGACCCGGGATAACCCCCCGTGTGTCTCCCCCCCCCCCGGCACCGAATACCGGGACCCCCCCCCGGTGTCCCCTCACCGAGGTTCCGCCCCTCCCCCCCCCACCCAAGGCCCGGCGGCGCGTGCCGCGCTCATGTCGCTAATTACAATTACAATCGCTAATTACAATTACAATCGCTAATTACCGGGCCCCCGGGGCAGCTAAGAGGGGGAGGGGAGGGGGGGACACACCCAGGTCACCCCCCCCCCCGCGCCCTGCCTCAGTTTCCCCACCCAGCAAGGGGCAAAGGTGAAGCGCCCCACCCGTGTGGGGGCGGGGAGCGCTCGGTGGCACTGTCCCCCCCCCATTGTCGCCTCCTTGCCGCCGCCCTCTCCTCCCCCCCCCCCTCCCTCACTCGAAAAAAAAAAAAAAAAAAGCCCAAAAACCCCAAAATCTCCTCAAACCCCACCCCGGGGCCTGCCCTTAGTTAAGATGGCGGCGCCTCCGCCTCACGGTTTCCAAGATGGCGCCCGCGCCGCCACGCGCTGCCAGGCTGCCCTCACTCAAGATGGCTCCCGCCGCGTGCTAACCGATAGCGCTGAAGCCGACAGCGCTAGCCCGGATGTACCCACCATATTGCCCTCACCCAACATGGCGCCGCCCTCCCCGTGTTCCCCTATGGGCGTGAAGCCGCAGCGTGGCGCGCGGCTGCCAGGATATGGGCGTGTCTTCGCGGGAGAGGGGAAGGGGCGCGGCCTCGCTCTGCCGGAAGTTGCGTCAGGGCGGAGCCGCCCGCGGGGAGCGGGGAGCGGGGGACGGAGCCAAGATGGCGGCGCCGGGGCTGGGCCGGCCCTGAGGGGCCGGGAGGGGCCGGGAGGGGCCCCCGCGCTCACCGGGGCCGGGCCGGGCCGCAGGGGGGGCCCCGCCGCTCCCCCCGCCGCTCCTCGCCACGCTGCCGCCGCCGGAGCTTCCCCGGGGGAGACGCGGGGCCTGCGCGGTGCCGTTCGCGGCCTTACCGGGGCCTTACCGGGACCTCACCGGGGCCTCCCCGCGGCTTTTCGGGGCTCGGCGGCGCCGTTCGCGGCCTTACCGGGGCTTCACCGGAGCTTTTCGGGCTCGAACCGGGCCCGTTAACGGGAGGAGCCTCCCGGTGCCGCCGGTGCTGGCTGGAATTTGGAGCCGATTTCAGGCAAAATCGGAATTTTTTGTGAATTTTTTTTTTTAATGTTTTTTCGTTAATTTAACAGCGCTTTTCCCGGTTTTTCCGCTGGGAAAATCCCGGGATTCGAGGCGCCGGGAGGAACGGGATGAAATTCCAAATATTTCCTCAGCCCAGCGAGGTTTTTTGGGGTTTTTTCTTGCGGTTTTTGCTTTAAAACGAGCAAAAAAATCCGCGATCCTCGGAATCCCTCTAACCGGGAATGGCTTAAAGGCTTTTCCTGCGTAAATTATTAATTAGGGAATTAAAAATAATTTAAAAGGGTTTTTTCTGGGGGGGGGAAATTCCGGTGTTTTCCGGTAAGGTTCGAGCAGCGATCCCGGCCTCTGGAATTGCGGCCGCCGCTGGAAATTTGGGATTTTTTTTTTTTTTTTTT